GACACATAACTATTTCAAGTGCTACATACCTGGTATTGGTGACACATAACTATTTCAAGTGCTACATACCTGGTATTGGTGACACATAACTAGTTCAAGTGCTACATACCTGGTATCGGTGACACATAACTAGTTCAAGTGCTACATACCTGGTATCGGTAACGCTTATCTAGTTTAAGTGCTACACACCTGGTATCGGTTACACATACCTAGTTCAAGTGCTACATACCTGGTATCTGTAATGATTATCTAGTTCAAGTGCTACACACCTGGTATCTGTAATGCTTATCTAGTTCAAGTGCTACACACCTGGTATCGGTTACACATACCTAGATTAAGTGCTACACACCTGGTATCTGTAATGCTTATCTAGTTTAAGTGCTACATACCTGGTATCGGTGACACATAACTAGTTCAAGTGCTACATACCTGGTATCGGTAACGCTTATCTAGTTTAAGTGCTACACACCTGGTATCGGTTACACATACCTAGTTCAAGTGCTACATACCTGGTATCGGTTACACATAACTAGTTCAAGTGCTACATACCTGGTATCTGTAATGATTATCTAGTTCAAGTGCTACACACCTGGTATCTGTAATGCCTATCTAGTTCAAGTGCTACACACCTGGTATCGGTTACACATACCTAGATTAAGTGCTACACACCTGGTATCTGTAATGCTTATCTAGTTTAAGTGCTACATACCTGGTATCGGTTACACATAACTAGTTCAAGTGCTACATACCTGGAATCTGTAATGCTTATCTAGTTTAAGTGCTACACATCTGGTATCTGTAATGCTTATCTAGTTCAAGTGCTACACACCTGGTATCGGTTACACATACCTAGATTAAGTGCTACACACCTGGTATCTGTAATGCTTATCTAGTTTAAGTGCTACATACCTGGTATCGGTTACACATAACTAGTTCAAGTGCTACATACCTGGAATCTGTAATGCTTATCTAGTTTAAGTGCTACACATCTGGTATCTGTAATGCTTATCTAGTTCAAGTGCTACACACCTGGTATCGGTTACACATACCTAGATTAAGTGCTACACACCTGGTATCTGTAATGCTTATCTAGTTCAAGTGCTACATACCTGGTATCTGTAATGCTTATCTAGTTCAAGTGCTACACACCTGTTATCGGTTACACATACCTAGTTTTAGTGCTACACACCTGGTATCGGTTACACATACCTAGTTTTAGTGCTACACACCTGGTTTCTGTAATGCTTATCTAGTTCAAGTGCTACATACCTGGTATCGGTTACACATACCTAGATTAAGTGCTACACACCTGGTATCTGTAATGCTTATCTAGTTTAAGTGCTACATACCTGGTATCGGTTACACATACCTAGTTCAAGTGCTACACACCTGGTATCGGTTACACATACCTAGATTAAGTGCTACACACCTGGTATCTGTAATGCTTATCTAGTTTAAGTGCTACACACCTGGTATCGGTTACACATACCTAGTTCAAGTGCTACATACCTGGTATCGGTTACACATAACTAGTTCAAGTGCTACATACCTGGTATCTGTAATGCTTATCTAGTTCAAGTGCTACATACCTGGTATCGGTTACACATACCTAGATTAAGTGCTACACACCTGGTATCTGTAATGCTTATCTAGTTTAAGTGCTACACACCTGGTATCGGTTACACATACCTAGTTCAAGTGCTACATACCTGGTATCGGTTACACATAACTAGTTCAAGTGCTACATACCTGGTATCTGTAATGATTATCTAGTTCAAGTGCTACACACCTGGTATCTGTAATGCCTATCTAGTTCAAGTGCTACACACCTGGTATCGGTTACACATACCTAGATTAAGTGCTACACACCTGGTATCTGTAATGCTTATCTAGTTTAAGTGCTACATACCTGGTATCGGTTACACATAACTAGTTCAAGTGCTACATACCTGGAATCTGTAATGCTTATCTAGTTTAAGTGCTACACATCTGGTATCTGTAATGCTTATCTAGTTCAAGTGCTACACACCTGGTATCGGTTACACATACCTAGATTAAGTGCTACACACCTGGTATCTGTAATGCTTATCTAGTTTAAGTGCTACATACCTGGTATCGGTTACACATAACTAGTTCAAGTGCTACATACCTGTAATCTGTAATGCTTATCTAGTTTAAGTGCTACACATCTGGTATCTGTAATGCTTATCTAGTTAAAGTGCTACACACCTGGTATCGGTTACACATACCTAGATTAAGTGCTACACACCTGGTATCTGTAATGCTTATCTAGTTCAAGTGCTACATACCTGGTATCTGTAATGCTTATCTAGTTCAAGTGCTACACACCTGTTATCGGTTACACATACCTAGTTTTAGTGCTACACACCTGGTATCGGTTACACATACCTAGTTTTAGTGCTACACACCTGGTTTCTGTAATGCTTATCTAGTTCAAGTGCTACATACCTGGTATCGGTTACACATACCTAGATTAAGTGCTACACACCTGGTATCTGTAATGCTTATCTAGTTTAAGTGCTACATACCTGGTATCGGTTACACATAACTAGTTTAAGTGCTACACACCTGGTATCTGTAATGCTTATCTAGTTCAAGTGCTACATACCTGGTATCGGTTACACATACCTAGATTAAGTGCTACACACCTGGTATCTGTAATGCTTATCTAGTTTAAGTGCTACATACCTGGTATCGGTTACACATACCTAGTTCAAGTGCTACACACCTGGTATCGGTTACACATACCTAGATTAAGTGCTACACACCTGGTATCTGTAATGCTTATCTAGTTCAAGTGCTACATACCTGGTATCGGTTACACATACCTAGATTAAGTGCTACACACCTGGTATCTGTAATGCTTATCTAGTTTAAGTGCTACATACCTGGTATCGGTTACACATAACTAGTTTAAGTGCTACACACCTGGTATCTGTAATGCTTATCTAGTTCAAGTGCTACACACCTGGTATCGGTTACACATACCTAGATTAAGTGCTACACACCTGGTATCTGTAATGCTTATCTAGTTCAAGTGCTACATACCTGGTATCGGTTACACATACCTAGATTAAGTGCTACACACCTGGTATCTGTAATGCTTATCTAGTTTAAGTGCTACATACCTGGTATCGGTTACACATAACTAGTTTAAGTGCTACACACCTGGTATCTGTAATGCCTATCTAGTTCAAGTGCTACACACCTGGTATCGGTTACACATACCTAGATTAAGTGCTACACACCTGGTATCGGTAATGCTTATCTAGTTCAAGTGCTACATACCTGGTATCGGTTACACATACCTAGATTAAGTGCTACACACCTGGTATCTGTAATGCTTATCTAGATTAAGTGCTACATACCTGGTATCTGTAATGCTTATCTAGTTTAAGTGCTACATACCTGGTATCTGTAATGCTTATCTAGTTCATGTGCTACACACCTGGTATCGGTTACACATACCTAGATTAAGTGCTACACACCTGGTATCTGTAATGCTTATCTAGTTTAAGTGCTACATACCTGGTATCGGTTACACATAACTAGTTCAAGTGCTACATACCTGGTATCTGTAATGCTTATCTAGTTCAAGTGCTACACACCTGGTATCGGTTACACATATCTAGATTAAGTGCTACATACCTGGTATCTGTAATGCTTATCTAGTTTAAGTGCTACATACCTGGTATCTGTAATGCTTATCTAGTTTAAGTGCTACATACCTGGTATCTGTAATGCTTATCTAGTTCATGTGCTACACACCTGGTATCGGTTACACATACCTAGATTAAGTGCTACACACCTGGTATCTGTAATGCTTATCTAGTTTAAGTGCTACATACCTGGTATCTGTAATGCTTATCTAGTTCAAGTGCTACACACCTGGTATCGGTTACACATACCTAGATTAAGTGCTACCCACCTGGTATCTGTAATGCTTATCTAGTTTAAGTGCTACATACCTGGTATCTGTAATGCTTATCTAGTTTAAGTGCTACATACCTGGTATCGGTTACACATAACTAGTTCAAGTGCTACATACCTGGTATCAGTGACGCATAACTAGTTCAAGTGCTACACACCTGGTATCTGTAATGCTTATCTAGTTCAAGTGCTACACACCTGGTATCGGTTACACATATCTAGATTAAGTGCTACATACCTGGTATCTGTAATGCTTATCTAGTTTAAGTGCTACATACCTGGTATCTGTAATGCTTATCTAGTTCATGTGCTACACACCTGGTATCGGTTACACATACCTAGATTAAGTGCTACACACCTGGTATCTGTAATGCTTATCTAGTTTAAGTGGTACATACCTGGTATCTGTAATGCTTATCTAGTTCATGTGCTACACACCTGGTATCGGTTACACATACCTAGATTAAGTGCTACACACCTGGTATCTGTAATGCTTATCTAGTTTAAGTGCTACACACCTGGTATCTGTAATGCTTATCTAGTTTAAGTGCTATATACCTGGTATCGGTTACACATACCTAGATTAAGTGCTACATACCTGGTATCAGTTACACATACCTAGTTCTAGTGCTACATACCTGGTATCGGTGACGCATACCTAGTTTAAGTGCTACACACCTGGTATCTGTAATGCTTATCTAGTTTAAGTGCTACACACCTGGTATTGGTGACGCATACCTAGTTCAAGTGCTACACACCTGTTATCGGTTACACATACCTAGTTTTAGTGCTACACACCTGGTATCGGTTACACATACCTAGTTTTAGTGCTACACACCTGGTTTCTGTAATGCTTATCTAGTTTAAGTGCTACACACCTGGTATCGGTGACACATACCTAGTTTTAGTGCTACACACCTGGTATCTGTAATGCTTATCTAGTTTAAGTGCTACACACCTGGTATCGGTTACACATACCTAGTTTTAGTGCTACACACCTGGTTTTAGTAATGCACACCTTGTTTTATTGGGTATATTTTTGTTTACAGGACACAACGTTTGGTCACTTTAGGACTCTGAAACTCAGACCTGAACAGTTCACATCGTATCTGACTGACAGCGTGGGCTTCAGCTCCTACAGACTGCTGACACGCACAGGTAACACACACACACACTGATTCTGTACCAACTAGGGTCAACAGCTTTGACTAATAACTGCGGTTGGTGTGACACACTGTGGCAGCCCACTTTTAAGACCAGTCCAACATAGCCGATAACAGCGATATCAGTACGACCTGCACTGACAAGAACAAAAACACTTCTGGAACAGACACTCGTGGATCTTGGCAGAACCAGCTAAAACCAGCACCAGGACTGCACTGACTCCACCTAGGAAGCACTTGAAGTCTCCTGTGTGGGAATATTTTAGGTTCCCAAAGATGCAAGAGGAGAAACTCAGGACTATGGCACGTCCATCTGCAGAGCTGGCAGAAAAACCGTTGTGACACGCCCAACTTGTTTCATCATGTCTGACATCATCACATCTGAGTGGACCTGGGTATTGATTCATGTTTCAAGATTCGATTCTGATTATGAAGCGATAGAATCGATTCTCATCGTGTGATGCAATGTTCCAGTAGGACATTGAGGTGTCAGTGCTGTTAAAACCTCAGTATGAGCCGTTACCTTAACCCTCCCACTGTCCTGTTGGGTGATCCCGCCAGGAAAGTTGACCACTGAGCAGGGTTGATGTGAGTGAGCACTAGGGCCTGCACGACTTTATTTTTTTTAAAGTCGACAGTCAAGTAATGAAAGTCGAGTCGACTTCGACTAGTCGTTGATGACGTCATACGCCGGAAGCGGCGGCGGGGGGGGGGGGGGGGGGGGGGGGTTCGGTCGGTAGGTTCACTGGAGTTTTTGACAATTAAAATTGCGCCCACATTTTCTAAGTTAACACATCTCTTTTAACAACGGTAGTTTCTGCATCCTGCTTCAGCCCTCTCCCCCCTCCCCCTGCTTCAGCCCTCTCCCCCCTCCCCCTGCACAGCGGCCGCAAACTGATGCACCTGCAGCCTCTCGGAGTTCCTGCTGCTCTAAACATTAAAATAATTATTTCATTTTCTGTTCCTCACGTCTGATTACCTTCAATGGTGTCTGTTTGTTGCAACCAGCAGGTACAAAAACTAACTTGTTTTTATTTGACTATTTTTCTGTCCTGCCTGTTTATTATCTTCCTGCATCTCCTCTCAGTCCTAAAGAAAAACTGCTACCTGGGTTCATATATATTCACCTCATGAGTTACCTTTGAACTGCAGTTCTAAAAGATCTACCGACCGCTAAAACAGCGGAGTGCCGCTGCTCGCCGGCCGACTACAACGGGACCGTTTTTGCTGCGGAGTTCATGCCGGAGCGGAGCAGAGTGGAGATAGTGGAATCTTGGGGGTGTGTCACCGGAGGAACAGGTGATGCGCCTCGCTCCGCAGCAGCGAAACGCATCAGGCACAAATAACAAACAGAAAACATGAAAGGAAATGAGCCGACATGAACGATCGCGTGTTTAATTTGTTTTTGAGGTGGTGACACCTGATTTGGCGGTGCTCAGGACGCAATGTCTGGAGCGCACGTCAATGATCAGAGCTTTGCATGCGCAAACTGGTTAAGATTAGGATGGGGTGAGGGGAAGGTTAAATTGCAAGAGGGAAAAGGTCACAGTTTGGTTAAATGTCCGTTTTACCGCCGGTGTCAGTACCGCACAGCGCGTCGCATCCGCCTCGATCCAGACGCGCAGGGGCTCATCACCTGCTGTCATTTCCGAGGACTGCATCTTGTCAGTCATTATCACGTGACAGCGACTAGTTGATGACAGGCATAAAAAGTCACTACAGAGCCGAGAAGTCGACTAGTTCGTACAACCCCTAGTGAGCACCACCTCACCCCTGCCACCTGGACCTCAAGGGATAAACCATCAACCCTGCTCAATGGTTGCATCTCAATGATTCCAAGACTGAACTGATCCTGTTTAATCCGGTCAGATCTAGCTCATTCCAAACCCCAGATCTTTCATCTATTTCTCTAAATCTAAAAACCGTTGTGACAAACCTGGGTGTGAAGATGGATTCATCTCTAAGGATGGACGCCCAGGTCAATGCCACTGTAAAATCTTGTTTTTTCCAACTCCGCCATCTGTCCAAATGAAGAGCTGTTTTATCTAGAAATAATCTGGAATCAGTTGTTCATGCCTTCATCACATCTAGGCTCGACCACTCCGATGCAGTTTTGCTGGGTGTCAATAAGTCAACCCTTGCCAGACTTCAACTTGTTCAAAATGCAGCTGCTAGATTCCTCACGCGTTCTGACAGGCGCCAGCATATAACACCAGTTCTCAAATCCCTTCATGGGTTGCCCGTCACTTTCAGGGTCCAATATAAAATGCTACTTTTTGTCTTCAAATCCCTCCATGGTCTTGCCCCCCTGTACTTATCTGATCTCCCGGTCGCACACTCAGGTCCTCCAGCCTGTTGCTCCTCGAGGTCCCGAAAGCGTGCTACAAATCATGCGGACAAAGAGCTTTCTCTGTCGCGGGTCCTAAACTGTGGAACGAACTTCCAGTCACAGTTCGACTGGCATCCACCTTGTTAGATTTTAAGTCTAGACTAAAGACACTATTTTACCCTTGCTTTCAACAGTTAGCTGTTAGTTTGGCTTTTACTACTCTTATTTTATCGTCTATTGTAAGGTTTCATTGGTTTTATTGGTACTTTTTTGTCGGCTCGTCTTTTTTATTGTTGGCTGTATTTCATAGTACTGTTTTATGCTTTTTATCTCTATTATTGTGTGACTGTTCAGCACTTTGGTCAGCCGTATGGCTGTTTTTAAAGTGCTATATAAATAAAGGTGGTATGGTATGGTATGGTAAAATGTGAACTTAGTGCTACAATAAATAGATGCTAGAAAGACAAGACCTTCCTTGGACATACTACGATACCAAGTGACACGATCGGGAACGCTGGCCTTTCTGATCAACTCATTCTCCAGGATGGAGATCAGTGGTTCATTAGCTACATGCTAACCCAAAGCTAACTGAGTTTTTCTGGACCTTTTTAGCAAGAAAAATGCCATAAAACAATTCCAACGTGGTCGTTCTACTGTGCTTGTCTTGCTTAAAAACACCCAGGAAAACTCTGTTAGCTTCGAGTTAGCATGTAGCTAATGCTTCACTGATCTCCGTCCATGGAGAATGAGCTGATCTGGAAGGCCAGGACTCCCGGTCACAGCGGTCTGGCTCTGCTTGTAATTTAACAGTCCCAGTCCATATTGGATCTCCACAGGCGACCAGCATGACTACAGCCTCACACGGGAGCCAGTCGGCCGTGCAGGCGGGCTACCCCGCTCCCTGGAGCCCCTCTTAGCTTCATGGGTTAGCTAAGTTGGCTAGTAGCTAGATTGGTTTCATTAGTTCCAACCCTGTTCCTAATGTAACAGCCCCACCCTCAACTCCACCTTTTACCATTTTTGGACTGTCTGGGCGTGACTCGGACAAAAAAAATCAGTGGTGGGACCCCCCGCGGAGCAATGGGCGGGCTATGTCCATATTTTTATATGTCGATGGTTGGGACTGGCCTAAAGTCTCTTTTCGGAGTATTTCTCTTATGTGATGGCACCATCTAGTGGCTGACGAGCATATCAGACAAATAATTTCTCCTTTCATTTTTTTAAGATGGCGACTTCATGTTTCTGGTTATAAATGTGCTTCTGTAGCGACGAACAGCTAAAACACGCTGTTTTACGAGTATTATTCTCATGTCATGTTGTGTTCTCGTATATTTATGTTTTAGAGACTTGCTTATCTGTTTCCAATCCAATCCAATTTTATTTATAAAGCGCATTCACAAGGCATTACAACCAAACAAGGAGCTGTACACTAAAAATGTTAGTTAATTAAACCGGCGTTATACAAACATGTCGAACACAGATAAAAAGGAAAAACAACAAAATTCCCAAAACTAACAGCTAAAAATCAATAAAACACAGGGAGAATGAAAAATGAGAGAAAAACATTTTTAAAAAGAACCTCAATAATACGGAAGTCGATAATTGTGGAGTCCATTTTTAAACAATGCAGATGTAAGTGAGGTTCATAATTATGTTGTATAAGCTAGGTTGAAGTAGTGAGTTTTCAGGCGTGATTTTAAAAATGCTAGCTGTTGGTGCTAGCCTCACTAGCAGTGGTAATGCGTTCCACAGCTTCGGTGCACAGACAGAGAAAGCCCTCTCTCCACGGCTTTTTAAACGTGCATTGGGAACAGCTAGGAGGAGCTTATCTTCAGACCTGAGAGCACGCGGCGGGTTGTAGTAATGGACCAGTTCACACAGATATGGAGGAGCTTGATGGTTCAAGGATTTGTAAGTGAGAAGCATAATTTTGAAGTTTATCCTGAACTGCACGGGCAACCAGTGGAGAGATTTCAGAATTGGAGAAATGTGTTGTCTTCTGTCAGCTCCAGTCAGCAACCTAGCTGCTGAATTCTGGACCAGCTGAAGTCTAGAGAGAGCTGCTTTACTGATGCCATATAAGCAGGAGTTAGAGTAATCCAGCCTTGAGGTGATGAAAGTGTGGACCACCGATTTCAGAAGACGGACACTCAGGATGTGCTTTAGTTTTGAGATGCGTCTTAGTTGGAAAAAACATGATTTAACTGTGTTATTGACCTGGGCATCCATCTTCAGAGCCTGGTCCATTTTTACTCCAAGGTTGGAGATTACAGAGGATACATTAGGTGAGAGATAGTTGAGGACAGGTTGATGAGTCGCCGTGGTACTATAAGGACTGAAAACGATTAAGTCAGTTTTGGAGTCATTGAGATGGAGGAAGTTGTCAGCTAGCCATTGCTTGACCTCAAGGATACAATCAGAACTTTCGTTGATTGAGTTGGCTTAAATGAAAAGTAGATTTGACAGTCATCAGCGTAAAGATGGTATGAGACAGCGTGCTTTCTGAAAATGGCTCCTTAGGGCAGTATATAGAGGTTGAACAGTAACGGGCCGAGTATTGAACCTTGTGGGACACCCCAACGTAGAGGCTGTGACTCGGATGAACAGCCGTCCAACATGACCCTAGCAGACCTGTTACAAAGGTATGACCTAAACCAATCCAGGGCTGAGCCTGAAATGCCAGCCCAAGTGTGAAGTCTTGTGATCAAAATGTCATGATCGATCGTGTCGAATGCTGCAGATAGATCCAAAAGTACCAGAACCACATGGAAACCTGAATCTAAAGCCAGAAAAATGTCATTAAACACCCGAACGTGAGCAGTTTCAGTGCTGTGCTGTTGTCTAAAACCAGACTGGCAGGTGTCCATTACCTGAAATTCATTTAGATGTTTCACCAACTGTGCATAGACTACTTTCTCAAGGACCTTAGATAAAAACGGTAATTTGGAAATTGGTCGTAGATTAGAGTAATCGGTGGGATCAAGGCCGGGTTTTTTCAAGATTGGTTGTAGAACAGCGTGTTTAAAGGCACGAGGAACTTCAGCCAATGTCAAGCTACTATTTATAATGCCTAGCACGCTATTGCTAATTAAAGGAAACACCTCTTTCAGGAGGCGAGGTGGGATAACATCATCTGGGGAGCCAGAGGGTTTCATGGCTGCAACAGTTTTTTTCTAGACAGGCCAAAGAGATGGGCTGAAAGCTTTGAAGTTGCCCGTGAGAGGGGATAAATGAATCTGGAACATGGTTGGTTTGGTGAATCTGAGCTCTGATTACAGTAATCTTATTTAAGAAAAACTGCAGGATTTGGCTACACAAGTCAGCGGACACAGAGGAAAATAGATTTTGAACTGGGGAAAGCACTGCATTTATGGTTTTATATAACACACCTTGATTATTTGAATTAGCCGTGACAATGCTAGCAAAGAATCGATTTCTCGCGCCTCTGACTGCTCTTTGGTACTGAGACCAAGCCTCTCTCATGGCCTCAAAGGATACAGTGAGCCTGTCTTTTATCCATTTACGTTCCAGTCTCCTGCAATGTTGCCTCAAGGACGAGTTTGTTCGTTCAGCCATGGGTCTGGCTTGGATTTCTTTCGACTTGATTTTAATGGAGCGACAATATCCGTAGCAGCCAGGCAGGATGAATCAAGCACATGAAGTGATCCCTCAACTACAGAAGACGCAACAGTAGGATCATATGGAGCTGAGCTCAGAGTAAGAACAGCGGCAAAATCTGCAGCAGTATTGGGTGTGATTACACGAGAGAAGCTGGGACGGAAATATTCAATACGAGGGGCATAGTCCAATTTCAAGTTAAACAACACTGGTGAGTGATCAGAAAAAGTCGCAGGTAGAATGCCAACATCACTAATTTCCAGCTCATGACAGAAAACCAGGTCAAGTGTGTGTGTATGCCCATGTGTGGGCCCACTAACACGTTGGGACAAGCTAAGAGAGTCGATGAGATCTAGGAAATCCCTTACCAAAGGTTTGTCAGCACAGCAGACGTGAATATTAAAATCACCAGTTTAAGTCCATCAACTCTGCAGCAGCCGAGGTGCTCCTTACATTTGAAGCAGGTCAGCGGTAGTCTAACGCTATTGGTTGGTTCTGGTTTCCTATTGCACGGAGCTCTGCGGGGCGGGGGGCGTGGCTAGATAAAAACAGGTATTGCTTACATTATATGGCAGTACAATTATACAACATGTCTGAAAGGGGAAAACTGGAGAGCTGCTTTAAGTTGGGGTCAGCTGGTGCGCTCCGCTCCAGGTCAGCCAGCGGTGTGCAGAATAGTAGTGAGGTCATCTCCATGAACGCTTTACGGTAGGAAGTGGGCGTGCAGGAGGAGGGGTGTGACCCAGAAACACCTGGGCTCATTTCCAGTACAGGTGGGATGTAGAAGTGCTGCTGCAGCTGAGCTTTAGTACAGGTTCTACTGTTTTCTGAACGAGACCCGGGTCGGGGTGGAGTTATGACACGCCTGCTGAGAACTGGTTCCAGTTCCTGGTGGTTCTGATCCAGGATGGAGGGTTAGGGGTTATGTTCATGTGTCAGATGGGTTGGAACAGAAAACAGGTGTGGACCTAAAACATGCCCACCTTACAGTCTGGTACCAGATCCTTTATTCTGATCCTGACCTGGACTGGGTCAGAACCACAACGTCCTTTTAGCTTTGCCAGGAAGCTCCTGATTGGAGCTGAGGGTCATGTGACCTCACCTATGTCTGATCTGTTTCCAGGTAACCAGCGGCCCATCTACCTGTTCCACAAAGGCCCCACCCACAGGAAGTGAGGGGACAGGAGTGCTCCTCCTACTGAGATTGTGATTGGTCGAAAGACTAGATGAGCAGTCACATGACCGATCTGACTGAACTGAGCATGCTCGGTGTGACCAGCTGATGAAACACAAGAGCAGCTGGAGCTGAATCAGTCTTGTGATGAAGACTCACACCTGTGGACAGGAAATGATTCAGTTTTCAAAATAAAAGTGTTTTTTCTGAATAAAATGAGCCAATTTTCTGCTTCGAGTTCTGATTTTAGACCTGATCAGTTTTTAATCAGTCGTTCAAGTTTCTTTCTAAAGCACCAAGTCAGGACCAGAGTCGTCTCAAGGACCTGCACACAGTAAACATCCCAGTACAGGTCAGGTCATTCAGCCAGTCAGTAACGAGTTTCCCATGAGGAACCCAGCAGGTCGCATCCAGTCACTGACCCGTGTCAGACTGATCTCTTTGGCGCCATCATGAAGATCTCTGATCTCAGCATCCCTACAGAAAGATACCCAAGCCCTGAAGATGAAGGAATTCCACCACGATAATAAGGATTAAACGGAGGATCGGGAATATGACTGGAACACCGGGGGGGGGGGGGTTCTTCTCCATCAGCGTCGTTATGAAGACACGCGGCGTCGGCACAAGGGCTCTCTCTGACGGAGACCTGCCATGCACACGTTGGGAACCAGCAACCATTGAGTGATGGCATCCCACGCCCAGTGTTCTCATCGAGCTCCGAGCCGGGTCTCTCAGGAGGCAGCGGTAAGTCTCCGTCCCTAACCGGACCTCGGTGACTTGATCATCCAGGAGCACGAGTCGCTCATTTCCTCGCAGCTGGAACTGTCCAGCTGGCTGGCGTGTTAACACCAGTCCACGACCAGATCGTGTGATGTCACCTGCTGGAGGCCCATGAGTGGGCATGGGTTAGTAACTAGTTAGTAACTGACTAGTACTCCAGACAGATGTGACCACCTGTTGTCAAGTCAAACAACATCAGTTTGAAATTGGTTTTATTGGACAGATCTAAAGCAATAAATATGTCCACACACACACAGGTGTGTGTAGCCTTGGTGGAGGGGGTAGCGGTCAGGTGTGTAGCCCTCATGGGGGGGGGGGGGGTTATACAAGCGTGTGATCAGGCAGCTCTGGGGCTGTAGAAGGGCAGAGATCTGATGAAGGAGTCCAGTCGGCTGCTGAAGAGTTCACTGTCCAACGTCTGGGTGGAGGAACAGGACGGGTTCTTCACAACCAGCTCCACGTAGAGCTGCAACACACACACACACACACACTGACATCAAATTACATTTGATCTGAAACAAGAAAACAGGTGTGTGTGTGTGCATACGCGTGTGTGTGTGTCTCACGTTGCTGTAGATGTGCTGCAGTGTCTCTCTGGCGTTGCTCACTGACAGGTCGGTGTTCAGCACCAGCTTCAGTCCACTGGGAGTCTCGTAGTAATGAAGACGATACTTACTGGTCTGGAAGGACAGGAAGCCGTCCTTCCTGAGGACACGTGGACGTTAAGGAGCTCACACAGGTGAGGAGCCAGATGAGGACACACAGGTGAGGAGACAGATGAGGAGACACGGGTGAGGAGACAGATGAGGACACACAGGTGAGGAGACACGGGTGAGGACACACAGGTGAGGAGACACGGGTGAGGAGACAGATGAGTACACAGATGAGGACACACGGGTGAGGAGACACAGGTGAGGACACACAGGTGAGGAGACACGGGTGAGGAGACACAGGTGAGGAGACACGGGTGAGGAGACACGGGTGAGGAGACAGATGAGGACACACAGGTGAGGAGACACGGGTGAGGACACACAGGTGAGGAGACACGGGTGAGGAGACAGATGAGTACACAGATGAGGACACACGGGTGAGGAGACACAGGTGAGGAGACACGGGTGAGGAGACACAGGTGAGGAGACACAGGTGAGGAGACAGGGGTGAGGAGACACAGGTGAGGACACACGGGTGAGGAGACACAGGTGAGGAGACACGGGTGAGGAGACACAGGTGAGGACACACGGGTGAGGAGACACAGATGAGGACACACGGGTGAGGACACACAGGTGAGGAGACACGGGTGAGGAGACAGATGAGGACACGGGTGAGGAAACAGATGAGGACACACGGGTGAGGAGACACAGGTGAGGACACACGGGTGAGGAGACACAGGTGAGGAGACACGGGTTAACAGGTGATCAAGGATACATGTCCAGAGGAGCCATCTTACTGACGAAAGAGCGAATAGAGAAGAGCATCCCGTACATCAGCTTAAACTCCTGACACACACACACACACACACACACACGTGTTACCCACACACACACACCGTCTGTATGAGTGTTCGTGTGAGTCTTATACCTCCTCTTTAGAAATCCCCGCCTGCTTCTTCCGGTTCCACTCGTTGTAAAACAAACAGTTTCCGTTCCGGTCAAACAGGTAAAAGTTGTGAACAGTCATCTGTAAACAAACAGCAGGTAAACAAACAACAACAGTGCGTGAGTCCATCAACTGATCAGTCAATGAAAAAGAACCGTTGAGTTTAAATGAGCACCGAGGTAAAGTTGATCTGATTCAGGTTTTTGGTTTTAATCCCGTTTATTTAAAGGTAAAACCTGTTTTAGCTCGCGCAGATATGACGTAAAACGTGAATCAGACTCGTTAACAATAGTAAACCAACGTAACAAGTCCACAAGGTAAATAACAAGACAGAAACAACAGTAAATAAACCTTTAAATGTCAGGAGAACGATGTTTACCTTTTTCCGTTTCCGTCAGGACCTCCCAACAGCGGGGCTGTCCTGCTACGTGCCTGATCAAAACTTTATTATGGGTTTTTCTTATTTTACATTAAAAACCAAAGAATAAAAACTAAAACCTGTAATAAATATATCTAACTTTAACACTAACAGTAATTATACTAATGAGCTAAACCCAGCAGGACTTCCGGTTTCCCATGAGCCTCCGCTCGCTTTTAAAGAAACAGAGACAAGATGGCGGCAACAGCGGCAATGATGCCGAACTTTGGGCAGCAGATTTCTTCTAAAAACGACCTGGTTCCGGACTGGACCAGTCAGGAAGTCAGCACTGGGGTAGGTTCTGGGATCGAGAGGGTTGAACGGAGCGGGTTGAACATGACCCGGTTCTGTTCGGATGGAGAACATTTACACTGCTTCAGAGCATGAGACAGCAGATCTGCAGGAGCTAAACGGGGCTAACGTTAGGTTAGCTCCCGCTCTCTGGTTAGAACCCGATACCAGAACCTGAAGGGGGTCCCGGTACCTCACCGGTTCTGGTGTCCCGGTAACTCGCCGTCCCGTTTCCTAAATGATAGGCTGTAAGACTGCGTGTGAGGTTTTGTGGATAGCTAACGGTCGCTATTGACCTGCTTCCATTATCGGACAACGGTAGTTGGACCGCTACAGGCTGAGTGATTTGTCCGATAATTAGTTCATACCGTAGCACTGGCTTTACCGGTGTTGTGCCATAAATCGACTCGCTGCCAAAAAATGTTTCGCCACCGCGGGATCGCGCACGGTTAGGGTAACTGCATTTCTAGACGAAATTCCCCGGGATTTCGCCCTAAAACTCGGCATATCTAGCAATATAGACATTCAGACAGCAGAGATAACCTCTTCCGGTACTTAAACAGATGTTTATCGCGGATATTAGTTTTTCCAGTTCGGAAGTTGTTTTAAGTGTTGCTATTTGTCTTAAACGTTCACAATGAGGGTATATTAATCCTTTCAGCAATATTTGCGACTGAAAGATGGATTGTGGTAAGAACTGGCTTTCTTTATGTTTGTCCATATTGCTAGATGTGCTGAGTTTAGGGCGAAATCCCGGCTAGAAATGCAATTACCTAACCGTGCGCGAATCATTTTTTGGCAGCGAGTCGATTTATGGCACAACACCGGTATCAGACGAGCAATTCTTTTAGGAAAGTCTGACGTAGTCCATGTTGGTGGATGCAGCTGTCCGATAATAGAGGCACCCGTGTGGGTGGGCCAGCTCACCTGTCTACCTGCTGTCATACACTGGAGATTAAGGAGTAGTGGTTAGCTGTCTCCTGACCCGGACTCCTTTAGTCACACACCTGAGTTACCTGTGCTCACCTGTTCCAGACCACCATCATGGCTGTGGAGTATGAAGGAGGAGTTGTGATCGGGGCGGACTCTCGCACCACCACAGGGTGAGGCTGACGCGCTGCAGGTTGTTCTGACTACTGAACGGTCAGGTGAACTCACCTGTGTACCTGTCTGTCTGTCAGAGCGTACATCGCCAACAGAGTGACGGACAAACTGACTCCCATCCATGAGCGGATCTTCTGCTGCAGGTGAGTGGTTCTGCTGAGTGAAGACTACCTGGACCGTCATGAGTTCACCTCCTGAAGCTCCGCCCACTTCCTGCTTCTGCCTGAGTCGGTCAGGTGTGTTTAGATGATGTATGGGCTGAGGTTACTGGTGTGTGTGTGTTCCGCTGTTAGCTAGGCTAGGCTAATGCAGGAGGAACACCTGGAAAACCCGGCTGTCCTGGCAGACACGGGAAACCCAGATCTACTGGTGTGGTGCAGGAACATCACGACCTTCCTCACTCAGACGCGACATCTCGTGAGATCAGACGTGACCTTCGAGTAAACAAACATGGCGGAGGAGGAGCGTAGCAGCGATTCAGGCCCGAGGAAGCTTCCTGAAGCTGGTATCTGGGTTAGGGCTGGTGTCCCCTGGTCCTGCTGACCTGTGCTCCTGGTGTGGGGAACCTGATCCCTGCATGTGTTGGTTGTTTCCCTGCTCCTACATAGGGTGACCAGGTCCTGCCAGATGTGGGGCAAGGTGGAGTTCCAGTGAGAAACAAACTAAAGGTATATTGTGGCGTTTAGGCCTACGCCGCTGTTACACACACATATTATCATGTGTGTGTGTGTTATCTGAGTTCCACGTGAAGAAGCCAGCAGCAGCAGCTCTACTATGCCACCCCTCCTCTCACGCTACCACACACGAGTCTACAGGCTCTGATCACATTAGCACAGACGGGCCCGCAGTGATGAAGCATGCAGGTGTAAGCAGCTCTCACTGAACCTTCTCCAGGCTCAGGATGACCGTAAACGTACCACTAATGTGTCTTTTACAGGTTGTGTGTGTGGTTTGGGTTAATTTTCCACTAAAGTCAGCATGTCGTAGAAAAAAATCCATATTTTAGAGAGGGTGCTCGCTGCAGAACTACAAAGATGGAGCTGCACCAGCGTCAGCCCCGCCCACTGACTGCTTCTGTTTAGTTAGTTAACTGTCGTAAACTAACCTGACCCACACGGCTAACTGCTAACGCTATGTCCCATGCTCCAGTTAAACGACCTGCTAACGACAACGCCTGAATGACCCCAAGATCAAAAGGTCTCTTATCAAATCCAACCAACAGTACTTTAGTGATCCCAGAGGGAAATTAGTTTTTATTTCAGCAAATATCTGCCGCTCCAACACAAGTGGGCTACAACAGCATAGAAGGGTGTTGGGCGGGTTCTGGTGGTCCCGTGGTCCATGATCATCTGCCTGAAGTGTTGCTGATGCTGGTTCGACTCCTGGTGGGGTCGGCAGCCATCTATTCAGCCAGCTGTTCATATTTTAGTTGTGATGTTTATTTCCTGCAACATTTATGTCTCTGAAGTTCTTTGAATCGTTCCTAAACAGCATTTTAGTTAAACGCTGCTCACAAATGGACTCACACTGGCTAAATAAACAAGTAAACAAACAAACACATTAGTCATTATATGTTAAACGGTAAACCAGTAAATGGTTACAAACATAGTACTGGCAAGTGTAGCTAGAAGAGAAGGAAAGGGTCATAAACTACCGCCAGTGGGAGGCGATCCTGCGCAGAACTACATGCCAACCAGCCTCCACTTCACCGCTACGTCTGATAACAAGCTGGTGGCGTCACGTGGAATTGTGCCACCCAGCGTGTCTTTGTTGATGGGATGTATGGTTTATCGGCGGTGTCCCAGTAGAAGTAATTTCAGAGATAATTTGTCCTAAAATACACAGAATATCCAGATTTGAGACCCAAGACCAGACCCGCTTCAGGAGAGGACCAAATAGAAGCTGAGATGGGAGGAAAATGCCTGGATGAGGCCAAACATGGCTTTGGTGTGTTTCTGATGAGGAAATGACGATATAACACGGTAAACAGTTCTAAAAGTTAGGTATGTAATTATATGGAAGCTTTACAAAAACGGTTCTATTAACCTCTCAACTCCGTCCTCCATCTTGCACTTTAGATACTAGCTATAACGCCCTCTATGGCTCCAGGATGCTGTCAAGTCTGACAACTGGACGGAACTGGACTGGCTCTGGTGGAATGGGCGGGGCTGACTCTGGAATGGGTGGGGCTAACCCAGGAATGGGCGGGGCTGACTCTGGTGCAGCTCCATCTCTGTGGTTCTGCAGCGAGCAGCTCTTGATATTTTTTGCTGTTTTTTTCCTGATTCAGAAGCAAAAGTTTTTTAACTTGACATCAGATCTCCTGTGGAGTGTGGAGAATAAACACCAGATTATAATGTGTAAGACATCAGGTGTCATTTCATACGTTTCTTTACTGTGAAGAAGTGATGGAAGCTTCCATGTCCTCTCATCATGTCGTCTCCGTGCTTTAAGGGCTCAGCGTGTAGCAGGTGTCTGACACCGCAGCAGCGTGTCTCCCCTGTGTGGACCCGTCTATTTACTGGAAACCTGATTCTGTCCTCTTCCTACCAGACTCCACACCGAGACATGAAACATGACTCAGGAACAACGACGCCTGTCAGAGTGTCCCTGAACACGTTCATCTCACCACTTTACAGCGTTTTCTCCTCACGCTTGTTTTGGTGCTTGGGACGCGCTCCACGCACGCTCCGGATCTGCGGTGAAGCCCCGCCTCCGTTTGGTTGGCAGCAACATTCTCCCGTTTCTGCTGTAGGATTGGAGCTCTAACCCTGTCAGCAGTGCGGGACACATGAAAAGTGATGAGATGTGGGAGGTGTGGTCCCACTACCCTACACTCCTGATTGGCTGGTTGAATCTAGGCTGCCGCCGACGACTAACCGTGTCACGCATTAACGTACGGCAGCTGTTTCCTGCTTCTGATCTGTCACGCGTGGAAATGAAACCTGAGTGTGCACTTGGGCTGATTTAGCATGGTAGCATCATTAGCTCGTGTAAAAGTGAAGGCCGTTGCTGCAGCAGGTTAGTACGGGTGGCTGTAAGCAGCTGAAACCACACACTGATGTGAGCTGACTAGATGAAACGTGTCCAGCTGAAATGGTCACGCCGGGTTCTGGTGCAGGCAGGAAGTCAGCGTGTGAACGTGTTCAGCAGAAAGGCGTCCCAGCTGGGGTGGAAGCAGCAGGGATCCAGCTGGAAGTGTGGAGAAGCGGGCCGTCTTCTTGCTCTGGTCACTCGTCACCACGTCCTGTCAGGGACTGGAGGAGAGCTTCCAGAGCAGACCCTAAGCACACATCAGCACTTCGGTGGTCCTTGCCCTCTGACGTTCTCTTCAGGAGCCCAACACTGTTGTGTGTGGGGTCCAGGGCAGCTGCAAGAACATCTGCACGGATGCTTCCTCGTCTGCTTTAGCGCTGAAAGCGGGTCTCTGACCGGGTCGGACCTTTGGTGGAAGACCTGAAATGCTCGTGGACGGTGGACCACCACGGTAAACCGAAGCAGCGCCCAGTGCTCTGGCTTCAAGTCCAGGTACCTCTGGGAGGATCTGAGAGAGGCCATCGCTGCTCCATCACCAGGACCGTACCGTTCCTTCCTGTACCGACGTCTTGGGTCAGTGGGTTCGTTCACATTCATTTGCTGCAGTGTGACCTTCAGCTGCGTGCTAGCCCGCTGACCCTGGCGCTCTGCTGATGCAGGTGTCTACAGAGCTGGAGGGCAGCCATGTTTCTCCTCCAGCTGTCCCACTGCTGCCACCATGTTGGACCCGCGGCTCTGATTCTACCAGGCAGCACTTCACACGCAGTGTTTGCACACACACACACACACACACACACACACACACACACACACACACACACACACATGCACACACACACACACACACACACACACACACGCACACACACATGCACACGCACACACACATGCACACACACACACACATGCACACACACATGCACACACACACACACGCACACGCACACACACACACACAGAGGAAAAGAGCTGAGGAAATGGAGGACACCGGGTAGTTAAAATAAAAACTACAGCTGAGCCGAGGCGCGCCTCGACTGGGGCGCGTCTGATCTGAACCGAGGAGCGGCGAGCAGCGGCCGGACTTCGTGAGCGATTTGCTTCGGGCGCTTCCGCGGCCGGTGTGTCCCCGGCGAAACGCCGGCTTTCAGCCCCTCCCCCTGCTGCTTCCGTCTGCTCTCGTCTGTTTTCCAGGTGAGCCGCTGCTCAACTCGAACACGGCCATTCTCTGCGCCTCCCGTCTTCTTTAAACCGCCAAGAATCATTTCACCTACGCACACGCTTCTCTGCTTCATACCGTTTCGAACTGTCTGGCTTCTCCTCACCAGTTTTAAAGCGTTTTGCCGGAGATTTCATCAAGAAATCCCATCCCTGTGGTGGCGCGATCTTCCTGCGTGCTTGTGTGTTTCTAGCGTGGTTCCACTTCGTCTTTAATAGTGAACTTATAGTTCACGTGACTAGAACTAGAATTGTGCAGTACGTGGCTAGAGGCGTGTAGGTTCACGCACGTGAAACGAAAACGGCGGCTTCCTACAGGGCGGGGCCATGATGTAGGTGAAAGCCGGTGTGTAAATGACAAATAAGGCTTGGGCGCCACCCGGGCGGTAAGTCGTCAAGTATTTACCGCCCGACGAGAAACTTTAGCGCCATTGGCGCTCGGGCGCTTTAACGGTCCACCCCTGGATCTGCTTTCAGAGAAAACTAGAACAGGTCAGATGCACCTAATAAATAAAATCACTAACATAAACTCAGGAGTCTGTTTCTTTACTTCACTGTTCTGGTGCTGAGAACATCACTCATGCAGATCAAAGATACACAGATGAATGCACCTCTTATTTATTATTTGGACATTAGTGGGCGTGGTTTACATGAATACATTATTTTAAATCTGAAACTGATCAGAAGTTGATATGTGTGTTTATTAGAAAACTATTTACAGAGCAGCCTCAGAACGGAGATGAAATAGTTTTGATCACAATAGTGAAGGAACTGTTACAGAACCAGCTGTTCAGTAAACTGTTTAAGTGCATGGATTAGTGCATCTGAACTCGTGCAGCAGGAACTAGGACATACTAGAACATTTTATTTTAGTTTGATTCAACTGATTTTTTCAGAGAGCCGTGTCTTGACCTGAAGAGAACCTAGGGAGTACCGAAGAAACTTGAGCAACAGTGAAGCAAGCACAGAGAGACCCGTCACTGTGTGTGTGTGTGTGTGTGTGGGGAGGGGCGGGCGCTCCATGTGACTGGCCAATCACAGAGCGTGAAGGCAGTCAGTTACCCAATGAGGATTTTCCTTTAGCACGATATTTACAAGTTTTGCTCGTGTCATGCTCGTATTTGTCAAAAAAGCTTTATCCGTACCGGATACTCGTCTGAAACGAGTATCCGGCTCATCCCTAGCTGAAACCACCCTGCCCTGCCTCCTCCTCCTTGCTGCCTGCCGGCTGTGATCACAAGCAACAACAGAATAGTTCCCGCTGCTTCTTCAGGAAACGGCTAAAAAAAATCAATAAAAGTTGGGATCTTGTAGGTGTGGCACCTTGGATTTCAGAGCATATGTAAGGGAAACACTGCTACTGGACAACACGCACACACACCACTCTGGGGTAACCATCTAACCGGCGTTATTTCCAAAACACCCCAAAACACCCAAAAACATCCAAAAACACCCAAAACATCCCAAAAACATCCCAAAACACCCCAAAACACCAGAAAACATCCAAAAACACCCAAAACATCCCAAAAACATCCCAAAACACCCAAAAACACCAGAAAACACCCCAAAACACCAGAAAACATCCCAAAACACCAGAAAACATCCAAAAACACCCAAAACATCCCAAAAACATCCCAAAACACCAGAAAACATCCCAAAACACCAGAAAACATCACATAACACCAGAAAACATCCCAAAAACACCAGAAAACATCCCAAAACACCAGAAAACATCCCAAAAACACCAGAAAACATCCCAAAAACACCAGAAAACATCCCAAAACACCAGAAAACATCCCAAAACACCCAAAACATCCCAAAACACCCAAAAACACCAGAAAACATCCAAAAACACCCAAAACACCCCAAAACACCAGAAAACACCAGAAAACATCCAAAAACACCCAAAACATCCCAAAACACCAGAAAACACCCAAAACATCCCAAAAACATCCCAAAACACCAGAAAACACCCAAAACATCCCAAAAACACCAGAAAACATCCCAAAACACCAGAAAACATCCCAAAACACCAGAAAACATCCCAAAAACATCCCAAAACACCCAAAAACACCAGAAAACACCCCAAAACACCAGAAAACATCCCAAAAACACCCAAAACATCCCAAAAACATCCCAAAACACCCAAAAACACCAGAAAACACCCCAAAACACCAGAAAACATCCAAAAACACCCAAAACATCCCAAAACACCAGAAAACACCCAAAAACACCCAAAAACATCCCAAAACACCAGAAAACACCCAAAACATCCCAAAAACACCCAAAAACATCCCAAAAACATCCCAAAACACCCAAAAACACCAGAAAACACCCCAAAACATCCCAAAACACCAGAAAAAACCCAAAACATCCCAAAAACATCCAAAAACACCCAAAAACACCAGAAAACATCCCAAAACACCAGAAAACATCCCAAAACACCAGAAAACATCCCAAAACACCCAAAAACACCAGAAAACACCCAAAAACACCAGAAAACACCCCAAAACACCAGAAAACATCCCAAAAACACCCAAAACATCCCAAAAACATCCCAAAACACCCAAAAACACCAGAAAACATCCCAAAACACCAGAAAACACCCAAAACACAATCTTATGTTTCAGAATGGCTGTCTCTGCAGACCTGCAGAGCTGGGGGGAGGGGCTGATGGTCCCAGAAAGATGTCCATAGAGAGGCGCCCAGGTGGACGGGTCACTAATAGTCCCGTGGTCTTGTTTCCAGGTCCGGGTCAGCCGCTGACACTCAGGCCATCGCTGAGGTGGTCTCCTACCAGCTTGGCTTCCACAGGTAACTGTAGACTACTAGATAGCTCAGGTGGGTGGCTCCTCCCACTGAGGCACCATAACAGGATGTTCTACCCCCCCAGCATCGAGCTGGACGAGCCCCCCCTGGTGGAAACGGCTGCTAACCTGTTCAGAGCTAGCTGCTATCGCTACCGAGAGGAGCTGATGGCTGGGATCCTGGTGGCAGGGTGGGACAGACGGAAGGGAGGACAGGTAGGGGACACCTGGACACCACCTGTAATCTGTTGGATGTGCTGTCCACCATGGTTTAACCTGTTTCCTCACCTGTCCCAGGTGTACTGTGTCCCTATTGGAGGGATGCTGGTGCGGCAGCCTGTGGCGGTGGGGGGAAGTGGAAGCTCCTACATCTATGGCTTCATGGATTCAAACTACAAACCAGCTCTGAGTAAGGAAGAGTGTCTGGAGCTCACAGCCTCAGGTAAGCTGCTGCAGCAAGGCATGCTGGGAGCTGCTGTTCACCTGTGTGACTGACTGACTACCTGTGTGCAGCTCTGGCTCTGGCCATGGAGAGGGACGGCTCCAGCGGCGGCGTCATCAGGCTGGCCACCATCTCTGAGGCGGGGGTGGAGCGCCGTGTCATCCTGGGAAACCAGCTCCCCAAGTTCTCCACCCACTGAGGAGCTCGTCCGTCTGTTTGTGTCTGGTGTGTTAATAAAGCTTTACAGGCCTCCTGGTGTGTCTGGGTTCTTCAGCTAGAGGTCAGAGGTCATCCGGGTGTGTTAGTGCTCAGGGGGTCTCGGGGCAGCTGTGGCTACCATGTAGCTCATCACCACCGGTAGTGGAAAGAGCTCCACTCTGGGAAGACCTGTGGTCCTTAAACTGGTTCTGATCCAGTTTAGACTGGTTAGTGTTCTGGTTCAGACCGGCTGGAGGTCTCTTCTCTGGGATCTACAGAAACACACCTGCTCCTGTCGTTTCTCACCTGTACTGCATCTGAACAGTGGCGACTACAGGAGGACACCTGACGTGTGTGTGTGTGTGTGTGTGTGTGTGTGTGTGTGTGTGTGTGTGTGTGTGTGACCAGAGCGAGCTGAGCTCCAGCAGCATCTGAGATCAGAAGTCTTCCTCTGACACCTGAGATCTCCATGACAACCACAGGTATATCAGTGCTGTTGCCATGGCGACTCGGTCAGAAACAAGTTCACCTTAGCGTGCGTGCTCAGACTGATTCTACTTAGTTTATGGTCAGTCCTCACATCGGTACGAAATCATGTTTGTACACAACAGTAGTGATGTCATCGTGATGACACAACCACAGTAAAGGGAAGTGATCACCTAGTTACATCGTCGTAGTTACCTTCTGATTGCACGTTTATTTGTATGGAGGCCAGATGAGTGACGTAAAAGGGGCGTTTTTCAGACCCGTTTCTCTTATTTTGTCTGTGAAGGTTCTGAGTCGTCCAGGTCATTGCAGTCTAATGAGCTCTGAAAGAAAAGCGTCTGGACTTGTTAGCGTTAGCTAAAACGCTGTATTGATGAGATGAATTATCTATACTTCATCAGAGTTTGGACCATTCAACCTGAACACAGTCAGATGTTTACATACAGAAGCACAACACACGTGTGAGGTAGGACTGCACCAGAACTGAAACAGAAAGGTGCTCCGTGCTCTCCCTCTGTCTGACTAAACCAACACGTTTTACGAGAACCCGGCGTGTCGTTTTAACTGGGCGATGCGTGTGCATGGCTTCATAGATATTTAATAGGAAATAACGTATCTGTAAGGTCGGAACAGCCATGCCACGGCCCTCTGCTTCGATAGGCCATCCATGTTTGGGGAAAGGTCACACGGCTCTAATAAACCTGGTGGGGCACTTCCTGTCCACCAGATCGACCCCCCCCCGGCTGAAGAACATTTGTGAGTCAGATTTGTTCCTCCAGTTCTAAAAGCTGTGCTCATGAATAAATATCTGTGGAATCGAACCCACAACCATCAAATTCTCCCGACAGTCTACATTCCTACTGCGTAGCCCCGCCCCGCCCAGACTGACACGTCTTTCAGCCAATCTTGAGTTGCTAAACAGGGGGCGTGGTTTCCTGGTGGGCGGAGCCTAAAACTTCCAGCTTTTGTCCGAACTTTTCTGGATGTTCCAGCAGGAAAACATCTGGGAGAAGCGGGATCCGGCCCCAGCGGGACTTCGTCTCCGGTTCCGTTCGCCTCCTCTCTCCTGAAGCTGCAGCGGGCCGACCGAACCGTTTCCGCCCGCCAGGCCGAACTGGGAGCTGGTGTCTGGGTGTCGGGGACAGCCTCACCCCGCTGCTGTCCGGGGAGACAAAGGGGGAGCGGGACTACGGATCGGCTTCAACCCGCTTTCTGAGCTGCAATGAGGCCCGCGCGACCGACCCAGAGCGAGCCCAGCTGACGTCACTGATCGGGACTGGGAGAGATGGAGGTCGGGGGTCCCTACCGGACCCAGGTGGCCCTGGGCCGGGCCTCTCCTGGCGGGATGCCCCTGCTGCTGCTGCCGCTGCTGCTGAGCCTCTACCGGGCCGAGGAGGGTGAGTCCGGACCGGTACCGGTACCGAGCTGGTGCTGCTCTGATCAATTCGTCATACAGCCAGGGGCAGATGACGTAACGTTGTAGTTAAAAAGACTCCTTCCTGGTTCTCAGGAGGTGGGTTTGGGTTCAGGTAATCGTTAATGAGCCACTTCCGGTCCGGTGTTTTCACCTGGACCAGGTGAGGTCATTAATGGGTCAGTCAGCTGTTTTCAGGTGGAATAATGAACAGGATCAGATCTGTGAGGATCACCTTTGATCTGTTCATGCTGCATGTCCGCTCTGGGTCAGATCGGTAGGGCTCTACAGCAGAACCCTGAGGAACTCCAGATTTTCTCAGATACAAAAGGAACACACGGATTTCCTTCTGGTGCAACAAGAACCCTGATGGTTCTGGTACCAGCAGTTCTGTCAGGTCCCAGAACCGCTGGAGGAGTGAGGGATGAGTTCAGGCTGAAGGAATGAGAGACGCTGCCAGATCAGAGTTTATAGAGAGCAGGTCTAGGCACAGACCTCACACACTCACACACACACACTCAGAGGTTTGTGTAAACAGCCCTCTGCTGTTGCCGTAGCGATGTCCCTCATCCTCATTATCTCAGGCTGGGCTCATCATGTGATCTGTACTCACTCGTTAACTGGCCATCACTCCATTCCTGCAGGATGTTACATCGGTCAGGGTTAGGGTTAGGGTTACCTTAACCCGGGTCAGGGTTAGGGTTACCTTAACCCGTCATATCTTCTCTCATCATCATCACTTCCAACAACCAGCACCATTCACGTTCCAGTATCTTCATCTCTACGGTTACTCCCAAAGCTCGCACCTCCTGTGGCCGCTCCTCATTCCAGTTTGCTGCTTCCAACGACTGGGATGAGCTGCAGAACCACTGGAGCTCACCGCCTACATCCCATTATCTACCTGCAATAGTTCATGGTGATCAATAGTTAGTGATCAGTGTTGCTGCTTGTGGGTATGACAGACTGTTTAGTGTGTTCTGACTGCTCGTACGTGTTATATATGAGAACTCGGTCTTCATGTCTGACTGTTTACCTGCTTTATCTCATCTGGTGTTCTCTGGTGTGAAGCTAACTGTGCTGCTGCCTCTGGGCCAGATCCTCGTTAGAGATGAGGGTCGCTCCTAACCCTAACCACTCACCTGGGTAAATAACATAACATATAAATCCAGACACGTCTACCGTAAATCCTCTAATATTAGCCTGTATTTAATTAACGGCCGGGTATCATAATTTGGCCGGTGTCGGAGTCGGCGGAGGTGAATAATGGCCGGTCTCTTATTGTGGCCGGGTGGAATGTGGTAACAAGCAAGTACGGGGGGGGTTGTGTCATCGTCTCACTTTTGATTTGCCAGTGATAGACCGCGAGGGTAACTTTAACCGTGCGGAGACGAAGAGGAGGCGAAATTTTGATATCAAGTTCAAAGAGAACGTGCTGATTATGCTGCAGAACACTCTGGGGAGCAGTAGCAGGGGTTGTATGAACTAGTCACTAGTCGACTTCACCGCTCTATAGTGACTTGTTATGCCTGTCATCGACTAGTCGCTGTCACGTGATAATGACCGGCAAGATGCAGCCCTCAGAAAAGACAGCAGCCTGCTGTCAGCAGGTGACAAGCTCCTGCGCGTCGGTACTGACACCCGCCGTAAAACGGACATTTAACCAAATTGTGACCTTTACCCTCTTGCAATTTAACCTTCCCCTCACCCCCATCCTAACCTTAAGCATCTTGCACATGCAAAGCTCTGATTGTTGATGCACTCCAGACATCTGCGTCCTGAGCACGGCCACAGTAACATTATCAAATCAGGTGTCGCCACCTCAAAAACTAATTTAACACGCGATCGTTCATGTCGGCTCATTTCCTTTTATGTTTTCTGTCTTTTATTCTTTTATTTGTTCCTGATGCGTTTCGCTGCTGTGGAGCGGGGTGCATCACCTGTTTTGTCCTCGGTGACGGACCTCACCGGTGCGGTCGGCGAGCACTCCGCTGTTTTTGCGGTCGGTAGATCTTTTAGAACTGCAGTTCAAGGGGGGGGGGGGGGGGGGGAGAGGGCTGAAGCAGGGGGAGGGGGGAGAGGGCTGAAGCAGAAACTACTGTTGTTAAAAGAAATGTGTTCAACTTTGAAAATGTGGGCGCAATTTTAATTGTCAAAAACTCCAGTGAACCATTAGTTCATTTTGCTCAAATAGAAATAGAGGCCTGCCTCTAATTCTGGTCCTCCTTCCAATAAAGGCCTGGAGCTTGATGAGCTTGAGTCAAATACAGGCCCGGGCCTGTAGTCAGAACACTGGCCCTACCATCTTCGCTGGCACGGACGATGCATGGATGAAGCATGGACGATGCACGGATGAAGCACGGACGATGCATGGCAGCGTATGGAATTGCTGGCCTCCCCTCCACCCTCACGGTCCAGCCCACAAGACTTAGCACGTTTTGTGGGGAAACCCTGGAGGGGTTTGAAGTCACACACTCATTCAAAGCTACTAGAGTGATGCAGCAAACATTCGGACGTTTAATGACAGATGAAACGCGTCAAACCGACACGTTCCGTCATGGTTGGAAAATAGTCCCAACAGGAAAGTTGAACGGATGCGTTTTCGGATGTAACCGTCTTTCAGCACGTCTCATTTGGACGTTTAATAATGAAACTTTAGGCTTTTTATTCCTGCATTACTGTAAAATAGTTACCGCTAGTGGAATGAAGGCGCTGTCCCCACCTGCTGGATCCAAACCCGGTCCCCGGGGTGTGAGGGTGACTGCACTACCAAAGCACGCAGGGTCATCATTGCCCAAGGAGTCGTGGAGGTACATTAAATAAATCAGATGTGTTATAGCACAGCTAAGTAAAGTATTTACCTGTAAACAACAACAAGCAAACATACAAACCACCAGCCGCTAGCAGGCTACAGCCCCCAGGTGGAGATGATACAGCAGGGGCAGACCAATCACTGACCAGCGTGCAAACACACACACACACACACACACACACACACACACACACACACGGACCATTGTGAACTTGGCTGGGTTCTCCAGGTAACCTTGGCCCATCCAGCCTCACAGGCCAGTCCCGAGTCAGGTCCTCAGGTGTGACCTGTCCACCAGCGTGTCCTCTGTGGTGGAGCTGGCTGGGTCGGAGCACGACTGCGTGTTTTCTAACATCAGCAGTTTAGTCCAGCGGGAGACCTCTGACCTCTGTGGTGAAGCAGCATCTAGCCCTGAAGTGGCTGCTGGTTTTCTGGTCAGCGGTTTTAACAGCAGACCTGAAGCTGCTCCTCACCTGCTTGCTCCAGTCTACAGTCAAACATGCATCAGCATGGAGACGTGAAAACCTGAAGAGCTGAAGAGCAGAGGAGAAATAAGAACATTATCAATAAGCAGATTCACACAAAACTACCACAATCCTCTCAGAACTTCCAGAAACGATGACTTTTCTAAAATCATCTCAGAACACAAAATAATCCCAAATCTCTCTTCTCTTCAGTTGGTAATACTTTTAGTCGTGACTAACTTTCTCCAGAAAACCCCTCAGATGCTCTCTGTGAGGACACACACCCACGGCGAGGCGTCCTCCCGGTATTACGGTCCTCGCCTCTGGAGCAGGCTGCCAGAGACCTCAGGGTCGTAGAGGATGTTCATGCTAGTAAGAGCAGGCCTCTACCGTAGCTTTTACCTGCATCTGTATCAGCTGCATCGCTCGCCAGGGGCGGACTTAGGACTGAAGAAGATCCGGGGCTTAACACACACACACACACACACACACACACACACACACACTAGTCAACATCATACATGTCTTGTACCACATAATTATAAATCTGAAGCTACATATTCAGGACAGAGTATTGTTCCTGTTAGTGTTTAGTGTGAGATGATAGTAAATATTCCCGCTCTTTCTCCAACAACTTTACCTGATAGTAAGCTAACTTTAGGCAAACCAGCAGCACAACAAATATTTTCTAATAAGACTCACAAA